TGAATTGTGTGTTTTGAATATTTGAAGTACGACAGGCCAGGGACACTATCTGCGCCCCCCCCCCCCCGCCATCAATACCTACCTTTCTCAGGAGAGTCATGCTGTTCTGTGAGTACAGTGACAATCGGCAACTCTTTTGTTGTGCCTGTCTATGTACAAAGCACCTACTGTGCACTGAGTCATTTACTTCTTGCAAGTCTAGGAATTCTTCAAGTGAGCTGGTATGCTCAGTGGGAGGAACTGATGAGTGAGTATTGCTACAAAGTTTAATTGTAACTCTGTCACTCCATCTCCAGATCAGGGGATGTCTCCCTTGGCCAGTGGCTCCCAGAATAGCCAACTGAAATCCCCAAATGGTTTGAAATTTTGCCCTCGTTTTATTTTCATATCTAGCATGGGGTGTGTGTGTGGGGGTATATACTTTATTGCTTCTGTATGGAAAAAGAAAATCCATTGCTATTTCCTATACTGGAGAACCTAGTATGTATTAAGTCTGGGATACAGGGTGTTCGTTCAGGCAGCCTGGAGAGAACTGAGCTTGGGTCCAAGAATCAGAAGAAAGAAAATGACACAGTTGCCTGTCAGCCTCACTCTTAAATGGCACTGCAAAGAGATGTCTTTGTGGAGATGAAGACCTGTGATGGAGGATGGCCCCTTTTCATCCTCTTGTCCAGATCTTAGGGGCTCAGAACCTGTTGCTTTAGCCCAGAACCCTCTGCCCCTAAATAGCCAATAAGGCTCACTCTGCCACGTCTGTTTTCCTTGAAACAGGCTCCTGGAGAGACTGTGTGGACAGAAATCAACTCTCCAGCACTAACTTGTTTGTTATCTGACTAAGGCAGTTTGAAAGACCATCAGCTAACCCCTGACCTCCAAGTCACCTGAGGTTCCAAACATCACAGGGCCAAGACAAGCCCTTCCGTTGTACTCTGACCTGTGAGAGATTATAAATGATTACACAGTTGTGTTAAGCCAACACACTTTGGGAACTATTTGTTAGGTAGGGGAAAAAAAGACCAACTTGCAAATTCCTTTACATCTGTCCTTGTAGAATTCCCTACAACTGCTGATTCTCAGTTTTCCTGACTTCTGCATTGTAAATAATGACAATAATTTCAATTACTACTTGCCCGTTGATACTGAAAACTTTGGATCCGATCTCTGCTGAAACCTAGCTACAAATGTTGATTTTCCTCTGAGGTGGTTGGTGTTAGCTATTCATCTAAGTAAACATATAGCTAAAGGCATCTCTGCACATGCTTTGGCATAAAAAAATATATGAAACAATGACAAACAAACAATGCAGTGTGTCCTGAGATTTTACACAGCACCTTAAGTATGACAGGTAAGCATGGGATTATCAGGCAATCACTGAATGCATGGCAGTGAGCCCATAGCAAGGTTACTCTGATTCATCTGCTGCAAAGTCAGAGAGGCCCAGGGGATTCTGTTTTCATGGAAATCCTAGTTTCTGGGAATACATTTTAGAAGTCCGGCTTCTTATTTCTTTCCTGAGGTTGCATTTAACAAGTGTAGCCCAGTGGTGTGAAGTCCATGTTTTTAAATGCCAGAATAAACCAAGGAGCCATTTGTGTTCCAAAGATGACACACAGTGGGTAGCTGCGTTGCATGGAGAAAATAAGCTCCTTGGGCTTGTGCCTGCTGTCTCAGGACCCCAGGGAGTGCAAGGGAGTCTTGGGCCCACTTGCTTCAATGTTGTTGATGTGTCAGGAAGTTCTTTCTACCATCAAGACCAGAGGACTTTGTCCAAGATGGAGTTTTCATTTCAAGAGCCGAAGAGAGGGCCTTCCTGACAGGCCGACTAGATGGTGTGAAACATGGCCACTTCACAATGTGGTCTCCTGTGGTCTAAGGGATGGATGGTTGTTTGAGGGTAAGTCTAGATGATGACAGTGGCTCTCAGGTTGTTTCTTCTTATTTTTTTCATCCGCCACAATATTCCAGATGTATTACAATGACTTTGATGAGTAATTTAATTAAACTGCTTTTTTTTTAAAAATTCAAATCATTTCTGAATTTTATTCTTTGCTTTGTCAATAATTTGCTTTTAGCAGAATGGTAGAAAATAACTTCCTAATTTTGTGTGTTTCTTCACGAAACTTGTCTTTGTCCAAAAAAAAAAAAAAAAAAAAGCTTCACAAAGATCCATTTACTTTTTACAGCTATGAGACCTGACTTTGAGAAAGACAAACGTACAAATCGAGTATTAGGAAAATGAGGGTTTATAGGGTGGGGTGTGTACAGTTGAGGTGAGTGCCCTGGCCTGGTGTGCATGAGGCTGTGCATCTAGTCTTCAGCACCCAGACCAAACCAAACTAAAAAGACAGTGGCCACAGCAGCGGGAGCAACAATAGAACACATGTTTTGAGTTATTTTACCAAAGGAACTTGGAACTTTTTTTTTTTTTTTTTTTTTTTTTTTAAGCAAAACAAGGACTGGGGTAGGGGGTAGACACCAAATGATAGGGATTCTTCCACAATGCAGTGATAATCCCTCTATCTTTGGAAGGAGATCAATGGGCTAGTTAACCCTGAGAGAAAAAGCAGAAGTTACAGAGGAATTAACAGTCTCAGATTGGCCTTTTCTAGCCAGGAAGGCTGGAGTCTTGCTGGATTATGAGCAGAGATACCAGTTGATCCCGGGGTTAATGACACTGTTTTTCTCATCCCTGTTCACATTCCTCAGGGTGCTTCATGGTCCCCGCCTATGGGTTGGGGGTGAAGGGTCACAGGAGTGATGCCGTTTCTGGAGAAGAGCCACACAACTTCTCAGTTGGCCAATAATGGGCTACCATGTGGCTACCATGTGGCTACCATGGATGATAGCCTTGTAACTAAAGGTAAATGGTTGGGACCACATAGTCTGTGACCAGTAGAAGCTAGAATGTGAGTAAAGCCAAATAAGACCCAGTTAAGGGGAGCCACTCTGTGATTCTGCATTTGAGTTCAGGGATGAGGGTCCGGGAGACAATGAATCCATTCAGGGCCCCTTTATTCTCCAGCCTGACACGGGTCTAGTAATAGTGGTAATTTATGGCATAGTGTCTTCTACACTGGCTGTTAAATAGTAGTGTTTTAAATATTGTTTCTGCATAATTTAAATATTTTATCATTTCTTCCTGGAAGTCCCTTTACACGGGAACTCAGAACTCTCAAAGATATAGTTAATTCCTAGGATAGTGACTACTTACCTAAAGAGACTGCCACATATTTGGATCAAACTAAATATATTTCTTTGGAATAAAATTGCCCTTTTCTGCCAAGTAAAATGGGGGATATTGGCGAGAGGGGATCAGATCAATTTAATTGTCACAAACCAGATATTCTGTATACAATGTAAAAAGTTCACAACTTCGTGTGTGGGGGGGGAAATTCATTGGAAAGGCAATGGAGAATCTGGGGAATCAGAACACCCCTTAAGCCATTAACACACAAAGTCTACTTCGATGGAGGTTTTTGTTTTTTCATTACTGTATCTCCAGCGCACTGGGTAAGCGGCGGTCCTACAGCACGTACTCAATAGGCTTTTGCTGAAGAAATGCAAGTTCAGGCAGCCCATGAGAGTCTAAACACAAGTCCAACAAAAGCAGAAAGTCACATTAGCGGTCCACTGGGGACTAACCTCGGGGCTGTATGTCTCTCACGGTCCTACTCACTCTTGTGTCCACGTCACTTGCTCTCAAACTCACACTTTTACTGCTGTCAACACTTTAAAATGCACAGCAGAAGTTCAAATTAATAAACTTTTAAAAATTCGGATAAAAGTAAAAAAAAAAATACATAGAACTAAGGGACAGCGTAGAAGTCGTGGTAATGGGTATTGATGGGGTGAGTGTTTGACTAAGAGAACGTGTGATGGGGATTTCCGGTGGGCTTGAACCACTCCGGGCTGCGTCTGGGTATTGATTACACAAATCATTATGATTTGATAAGCTATGTGCACAGGACCTGCCAGTTTTGTGTATTTATGTTACACATGAGCATAGCAAGTGAGAAGGTATGCTGATTTGCAATCTTGTTTATATACCATTCAAAAATGTAAAAAATCCACATTGCTAATCATTCTGCAGGGATTTTCTGAACCTATCCATAATATATAAATTATGGCTAATTTGTATGCTAGTTAGCACTTGCTGTTCTCCAAGTTTAATGATGAGAAGTAAATCAAAGTGAGTATTTTTCTCTCCAACTTGTTGCAAAACCAACACAGAGGAGCTGGAAAAACAAAATAATTAAAACTAATAGGTAACATCATATCATTCATTATATTCCCAGCTTCTAACTTTGCCCACATTTGATTCCTGTGTTCTTTCAGGCTCGGTGCCTCTCGTCTCTTGTTCTCTCTTTTATTTATATGTCTGAACTATTATAAAACAAAAGTTTTAGAGATATTGAATGTAGTTAGCTCAGTTGTAAAACAGGCTGTGTGAGACGCTTGCTGGGTTTGATCTCCAACAACAACAACAACAACAACACACACACACACACACACACAGACAAACAAAAGAGGATGTGTTAGACAGTGTGCCAATTGATTATGCATTGCATTATTTGAGGACAAACACTATTCTTTCATACAACCTGAATACCTGACTCACACACTTTCAAATCAATAAACTCATATTGAAAAGTAGTATCTAGTCTGTATTTGTATTTGTAATTTGTCTAAACAAACACAGCTTTTCCTAAATGATTTGAGAAATGAAAAAATTAGCATTCAACAAAGTTCAATCACTTGTTGCATTTATTTGTTTTGTTTCTTCAGGTTCTTTTTTCCCCTAAAATGTTGCACCCCCCTTTACCAGCCCACCCTGCTTTTTCATAATATTGAAAATTTTCAAGTCTAGGTTACTGGCAAACCTTCTGTTTGTTTTTAGATGTGCATAATTAGGCTGGGTTTTACAGGCTCATTTCACAAAATCATTAAAGGTTTTTCAGCAGCACGTGTATCAACAACTGAAACAAATTCCCATTTTTGGCTATTAGTTACAATAAGACACCAGAGCTCCAGCCAGGCACCAGATGTTTTTGTTGAGGAGAAAACATAAAGAGCATTAAGAGCTTTTTAAATCTTACACTTTCACTTTGGTCTTATGAGAAATAATTGTGACATCTCATGCTCGGAAATGTGTCACAGGAGCTTTCCCTCATATCGACACCACGCACAGCGGAAGGGACCTGCTTACGTATCTGCAGTTTAAACGACCTGAAAACTCAGTGACAGCCTGGGAGGATATTTTGAAGTTTGAAATGATCCCTATATAAATAGAACGGATCAGCATAACTTCAGGATAAAATTAGCCGGCAGTTTGTGGACTCTCCAGCCTTGCCTGTGTGCTGGGTGCTGCTCTCCTGATAAATCACTGCTCGGCTTGCTCATGGCAGAGAGGATGGACAACAACATCATTGCCCCTATCAGCAAAGCTGGAGCTGCCAAGTTAGTTAAGAAAAATTTTCTGGATGCTCTAAAGTCAAATGACTCCGAAAAACTGGAGGCGATTTTATCCCAGAGGCAAATAGATGTGGACACAGTGTTTGAAGTCGAAGATGAGAACATGGTTTTGGCATCTTACAAACAAGGTAAAAATTGTAGAGGTGTGATTGTGAAATTGTTATAAAACGATCTTTAGGTTAGTAGGTCAGTTTTTGTCTTCAAAGCAGTTGTTTTTATTGTTAGCGTCTGCTAAGACATCATTTTTATTTTTTATCTTTCGTTCCTTTTAAAACTAGAAATGCATTTGGGCTGCTTTATATATTGTACACACATTTCTGTCTGTGTACATTTCTGTTTGCTGTTCTTGTGCCTGGAATTTGGGATCCTAGGTAGTTGTATTTGTCATGCACGGTGTGTTTAGGACGTCTCTTGTGCCCGTGGTGGTATAGAATAAAGAAAAACGTCTCTGACTCTCGTTAAAGACTGCTGAGACCTCCGTGTGACAGTGTGGCTGTTGGGGGTCAGGCTGCTGAGTCTTTGCTAACAGCCACTTACAGATATATCATCTCTATGTCCGTGTGGATGAAAAAGGGGACTCTTTTTTTCCACTTAGAGAGTTAATGAATGGAGAAAGCTGTGCCATAGGAACCTTCGTGATCTGCATCATTTTGATGGGTTTCAGTGCAAGGACAAAAGCTGAAGTAAAAAAATACCTTAAAGTTAACTTTTGTTTTTCTTTTCTGCTGGGCTACAATAATAGAACAAACAAACAAACAAACAAAAAAAGCTGAAGGGTTTAATTCAACATCTCTGCTTTGTACAAAAAAAAATTAGGAAAACAAAAATTAGAACAGAAAATTCTTCATTAAAGTTTTTTCTTTCTAGAACTCCTGCTTAATAAATCAGAAATAGATTAGCACACTCATTCTGATTTTTTAAATCAACTAGTCAATAGGAAAACTTAAGTAGTTAGGCCATCTGGTAAGCATATTGCAAGGAAATACTCTGTTCACCCTCATTTCTGCCTAAAGAAAATAGATGGGGAAGTCTTGGGAGCAGGGGTGGGAATAGTTGTTTATGCTCATATAGAGACCTGTTTTCTATTCCTACAAATTCATTAGTGTCACCGATTTCCAGACACAAATGCTGGTAGCATTTATTTTTACCTAATTCTCTGCAATTCTGGAGGAAGCATAAAATGGTTGAGGTTGGCTGCTTCATTTTTGTTTTGTGCTTTGTGATAAATTATCATTGCTGTTTTATCTGAAAAAAAAATGTTGTTTCTACAAAGTTGAAGGGATTCTGTTGGAGGAAAAAGAATTATATGCTACATAATTAGATGGCTTGCACCTTGTGACTTTATTCATTGATACTGTCTGATGCTAAGTATATTTTATAGAGAATAAAAAAACTCCTGTGTGTGCCACATACAATAGGACTCACACTCAAGCCAGGGGGTAATCTGCAAGATAGTGAGTTGCAGAGACCACCTTTGCTTATTTGCAAAGCAGGTAAACCCCCGGCAGACAGCACCAGGGCTCAGAAGTTCAGGGAAAGGAACTGGGAGGTGTGTGCTGTTGGCGAGGCTGGTGTCACAGCTCCCACAGGAGAAGAAACTGTGTTTCAAACTCTGCTTGTCAAAGTGAGCGAATTCCTGTGGCCCCCATGGAGCTAACTTTTTTATTTATGCTGATGACGGCTTTCCTAACATTCGGACTATGGGATGTGGCTTTGTCTCAGGGGCAGAAATTGAAACAATCTCCTAGAGAAAGAGCCAAGTCTTACGTAGGTGTCTGTTGGGAAATAACAGGGTTTGGGTTTGAAGTTTCAGGGCTGTTCAAGAAAGCAGTGTGCACGCCTGCGCACACAGGTGTGAATAGAAATAACTCCACTCTGTTCACCATGAATAGGTAAGGCTCTGCCTTCAGTCATAAGTCTAGGGCAAAATTCCTACTTTCTCAAAAGTTACTTGAAACTTACTTTAGGTGCCTGCAGGCCTAATACCAGCCCTTTGACCCTTAAGTGTAGGCATGGAGCAGAAGTAGAAGCTCTTTCTGGGCCAGTAAAGTAGGTCTAAGTGGTGATATCAATGTCTTACCTCACAAAGGAATCCTTAGAACAGTGTGGGACGGAGCAGTCTACAACTGGGTAGTTAATTAGTCAGCGTCTTCTGGGGTTTGTCTAAAAAGATGGGAACCATCTCTGTGTGGTTTTGAAGGACTTGTGGCTGGATTACTGTTTCTGATACTTCTTTTTTTTTTTTTTCATTAAGTAAAAGCAGACTTTTGGGATGTGGAAAGGCTACATGCTACACTTCGTTTTTTTTTTTTTTTTTTTTTTAAGTACATGGAAAGGCTGAACTTCTAAAAGTGGATAAGAAAAGCCCACAAACAAAACACCCCTGTGCAGTTTGATTTACTTTTATAAAAGAAGGGGAGATGCTTCATCACCCATATTTAGCTGCAGAAAGGGAACATAGTTGTTTACTCTCGAAGAATGGGTATCTCCTGCTTAGGTATTCACTGGATAAAAGAAACAATGTGTAATACAGACAACAAATATGGCCACCTGGAAACTTTCTTACACAGCACAGAATGTGATCTGCAGTCAACAGTCCATTATCCTCAGGGGGGCTAGCTGCTCTGCAATCAGCCCCTAGGTAATTTTAGTTTCTTCTGAAACACACTAAATCCTTTTCCACGGGATTTCAAAAAGTGGTTGAATTTGTTCCTAAATACAGCATGTCCGGTCTAATGTCAAGATCAGTGCTTGAGTGCAGGAAACAACTCCACAGGCAAAGACATGGACTTAGAATGTAAATAGCCCCGACTCTGGTCTAAAATGTATTAAAAGATGACCCCCCACAAGACTACGTTTTGTGGAGAGTGGAGGTATTGGGTCAGAGAGCTCTTTCTTTCTTGCTGTTCTGGTTCCTTCTCCTTGAAAAACCTCCACCAGTGAAGGCCACACTTAAAGTAGCCTCCCCAGTAATTCTGTTTGTGCTAAGGGAGCTCTGGGGAGTGTGTGTGTGTGTGGGGGGGGGGTTACCTGGATTTAACAGTCATTCTTCAAGTCAGATCTCTCCCCCACACCCTGCCTTTCTTAGCTTTATCACTAAATCTTCAGATAAAATCCCGACTGGGTCATTTAAAAGGCCCCCTTCTCTCACATTGTAAAGCTAACAACCAAGCATTGGAGACAGCTCCCAGGGAGCCACAGGCAAAGCTGGGTGGTTTTAAAAGCTGAGAAAAACAAGCAAAAAATCATTTTATTTTTAAGCGTTGATTTACTGCATGCAAGGGAACCACTACATATGGTGGAGATCAGAGGACACTTTGTGCTTCTCTCCTCCTACCACGTGAGTCACGAGGTTCAAACTCAGGTGCTCAGGCTTAGCGGCAAGCTCCACCTTGGCTATCTCAAAGGCCCCAGATAATCCCTTTAAAATACAATGAGACAACAACATCATGAATACCCAAGTGAATTTTTAACCATTGGATGTGACTACTAGTTGAAAAGTTAAGGGACTTTGTGACACAGTTTATTCCGAGACAAGCTGAAAGTATTTAGCATGAAGTGAAATTAAGGAGACATCTCTAAGGCTTTCCCTCGTTCACGTTGGTTCCCACTGTTAGCCTCTGTACTGGAACCATGGGCAGTGTCTTCAAGGCTGTTTTTAAAGCATATCCCAGCTACACATTTCGTTTTTCCTGCAATCGTATGTCTTGGCTCCCCATTGAGACAGGCAGAATATCAATCCCATGTCTCTGGTGTGAAGTCAGCGAGGTTAAAGAACACCCTTTACTAATCACTGTAATGCACTTTAGGTATTTCCTTTATGGTCCACAGCCTCTTTGGTCCCTTGCATGGTAGTCAAATTTTAATTAGGATAACCAATGAATTTGTTTTCACTTGAAAAGCTTCTGGCAGGTACTGTACTCTCTTAAGTAGCAGCTGATGTCCAAAGTTATCATGAAAGCTTTTTATTCCTAACAAATGATCTCTTTCTCACCTATTTTCTCCTGGTTTTAGAAAGCTACTTTCCTGTTTTCCTATTACAGGCCCAGGGGACTTGCTCTTTCCTAGTTGCTGGGAACTTAAAAACTTTGTATTCAGTTTGAAATCTCTTAAAAACTTTGTATTCCGAGCTTGCTTCCCTCTTCCATTCACTAGGGAGCCTCTGAGAGTTATCCTGAGAATATTAGCTATTAAAATAGTAGCCTAGAATTGTGCTTGGGTCTATAATCTTTCAGGGCTGTGTAAATATGTGGACATGGTCAGAGCAAATGTCTGCTAATCCCTGTGCAGCAGCGTGTGCGAGTTTGGCGGCAGCCAGAAGCTTCTCCAGCATGGGGCTGGTTTTTCTTTGATAACATTAGCGCTGATAACTGTTGTGGAGCCTGGGCTTAGCTTTAGTTTAACCAGAGATGTGTGTCCTCTCCAAATGCTGGAGCCCGACCAACGCCCTTTTTCAAAAGTAGGCTAAAACCTTCCCTCCTAGCCAAGTTTCTTGAGTGAGGGGTCTTGCTTGCAGACCTGTGACTTCAGCTTCAGGTTTAAATCAACACTCAGACGGGTGCACAAGAGGGTTAGTTCTGCACATTTTCTTTTTTTTTTTTTTTTTTTTTTTTTTTTTTTGGTAACCATGAAACTTCAAAATTTCTTTAGAATTTTTAGCCGAGTCAGGAGGAACTAAAGATCAGAGGCAACTTCTGACAAATTTGTTTTAGTCGGGGGAGATTGAAGTTTGAGAGTTAAAAAAAATTTTTTTTTTTGTACTTTTAAAGTTTTTTTTTCCTGCCTTATAGGTGTATATGATAATGATACACATAATCTCATCTGTCCCCCTCCCGATTGTCTCTATCTTCCCTATTTCCGTTTATCTCTTTTGTCCCCCTGAACAATTTCATTGAGTCAGCATACACACACACACACACACACACACACACAGCCTTACTGAGATAATTTCCAGGTGGATAATTTTCTGCAAACACTATAACTTTATTCTGTTCTATAGCTGAAAGAAAGCTCCATGGTATCCACAAAAACTCACATTTTCCTTACCTATTCTCCTGCTCTTGGCACACATCAGCCTGGTACAGAGACGCTCGCCATGTTTATCACACCATCATGCGCTACCCCTGCGCTACGGAGCCGACATGTCTAACAAACTTGGAGAGTTTGGCATCCACCACTAGTGGTTGCACGAACATGGGTGTGTGTTCCACTATTTTGTCTCTGCCTGCACTAGGTATCCTTCATGGAGGCTCTGCCGGGACTCCCAGTACTCTGCACGCAGAGAGCACGTGATACAATGAAGACGGGACTGTATAAGCAGATTACATATCACAGTGTGAGGAAGGGCAGCAAGGATAGTGGATGCTACAGGTCCTGGTGTGGATGGCTTGTACTGGGAGTTCAGGGCGGGGTTTCTGTGTGGAGACTAGCCGTGTTTCAGTCTCAGCCTCTTTTCAAGTGAACCCCTTGCTGAAGCCAAGCTTTCCTGAACAGGTGCCTTTGCAGACATGGGGTTGTTGAGTTGCTTTCCCCAGAGGGAAGCAGCACCTTATTCACTCCTCTACCTCCCCACTCCCCCCCCCCCCACTCCCGGCTTTGTCTTCCTCTTATTCTCTAGCCTTCTCCTTGTGCGGTCTGAACACACAGTTCAGCCGCAGCTGGCCTCTGCAGAGGCTCACAGAGCAGTGTCTCCCAAAGGTAAATGTTAAGAGCAAATCACATCCTAGGTTTGGATGCCCAAGGAAGAGTGTGCTATGAGAGAAAAGGCTAGTGTACACAGTAAATTCACTCCACTTGCTTGGCATGCAGTGACTGTTGGTGGTTTTGTGTGTGTGTGTGTGTGTGTGTGTGTGTGTGTGTGTGTGTGTGTATGAGCAAACCCTAATCTTTGGAGAGATCAACATTAATGACAGCACGTGAATTGGCACACCTCAGCTTCAGTTTTGGAAGCTGGTATGATGTCAGATCTGTTGCTCCATAAAGATAAGTGTATTTATTTCCAGTCTTGATGGAAAGCCCATGCTCCACCCTAGTTTAAGGGTCGACTTCTTGCTAAGGACTGTCCTTTTCTCTGCTCAGCACAGTTGGCTTTCCTGTTTTGCTACAGGCTGAATTATCCAGACTCTCCCAACACTGTCTCCAACTCTCTCACCAAAGTTTTGAAGCCCAGAGGAAAGGCAGAGATAACATAACCTGAGCCCACAGTCATCTGTCCGCATGGTCAGCCCCCTAGGGGCAGCTAATAAGGTGCTTTCTTGTTCCCCAAACACACAGATGCCATGTAGAAGTGGACTTTTACAAACAGTTCTGCTTTAGGCTTGGTGGAATTCAATCTGGTGGTCTATGGGCCTGATTCCCCTGGTAACAGTTATAGGAGACATAGATGAACCTGACTTTTCTGACTGGTCCATGTAATAAATGGGCAAGAAAGGCTCCATTGGTGCTGCTGGGAATTTAGGAAGAAGAAACACTGTAAGCAAACAAATGCATTTCCACACCAGCAATGTGGCATGTTTCAGATGCATTCGGGAGCATCTTCCTGTGTGTGTGTGTGTGTGTGTGTGTGTGTGTGTGTGTGTGTGTGACAGGCTTGGAGCTAAACCTATAGCATTTCCACAAAGACAAACACAGATGGAACCCCCTCCTGGCAGATACCCCCAGTCCATGAGATTGGACCTAAGCAGGTGATTTTTGGCTCTAGCAGGCTGAGGAAGTGGCTGTCTTCTCGTCTGGAAAATGAGAAGCTTGGGTTGGATGGTCTTCCCATTCTGTGTTTCTTTGGTTTTACATCAAAATGGTGTTTTCTTAATCAGCTCTCTGCTGTTTCTTCCAGGATCATTTTTTTTTTCTATCCTAGGTGGGAGCAGGCATGGGTTTCCAATCAGTTGCAGAATGATGGTACCTCATCTTCCCCACTAAAAAGCAGGCAAAATACACTGGTTTCCAGGTCCACAACCAGCTCCTTTCTAAGCAGTTAGATAAACTGTCATTGCAGGTTGCTTGTTGAGGAATATTGAGGGTAAGAAGTTGGGATGAACTGGGCATGGTAGAGCATGCCTATGGTCCCAGTGCTAGAGAAGCTGAGGCAGGAGGGTTGCTGTGAGTTCAAGGACTTTCTGGGCTAAACAGTGAGACCCTCTTTCAAAATGCTGGATCAGAAGAAAGGAGAAAGAACATTTTAAGTAGTGAGAATAATCTGTCTAAGATCTTAGTTCTTGGGATCTCTTGGCAAATTTGTGCCTAATTTGGGCAAGGTTATGTGTGTGACACTTTCCAGGTTCCTGGTTTGTTTTGGCTGCCAGGAACTTTAAAGACAACCTTACCATGCTGTTCTAGTACAAGCATGACCCTATCTTACTTTGTGACCCTATCTTACTTGTCATTTCCTCCCTTTGCCATTATTTTTGTAAATCAATTAAAAGAATACTGGATAAAAATGTGTGATTTGCCCAAGGTTTTTCTGTAGAAAGGGATACTGAATGTGCCAACATGCAGGCAAAATATCTGTGTGAGAATTTTTTTTAAAAAAGTTCAATCAAATCCCACATTGACTGACAACTATATGTACAAGGATGAAGGATGGAGATGAATAACATTTATAAACTTGTAATTGATGATGTCAGAAAGATACTAACAAACTTAAAATGACTTGAAATAAAAAAAAAATCTTAAAATGCCTCATGTAACATAAAATGCAACCACACACGTTTTGCAGTTTTAAGCTAAAGCGCTTTTGAGATCTAGGAAGCCAAACTAAAAGGACAGGATCAGCAGAGATGGAAAGAGCTAGAGAAAGCCTGACCCAGGGAAGTCCTCAGAATAAGGCACGGGGAGTAAACTCCGAAACCATTTCCCCCTTCAGTTTTATAGATATGACCAAAATAAAACACCTTGTCAAAATCCCCACAGAACAGCGAGAGACACTGGGACAAAAGCAAACTCCCTTTCCTTTCCTTTCCTTTTCAGGTTATTGGTTGCCCAGTTACAAGCTGAAGTCTTCCTGGGCAACTGGCCTGCACCTCTCAGTCTTGCTTGGTCACGTGGAGTGCCTGAGGGTCCTGCTGGACCACAATGCTACCATCAACTGCCGGCCCAATGGGAAGACGCCTCTGCACGTGGCTTGTGAGACGGCCAACCTCGAATGTGTGAAAGTCCTCTGTGACCGCGGAGCCAAGCTCAACTGCTACTCCCTGAGTGGACATACGGCCTTGCACTTCTGTACTACGCCAAACTCCATCCTCTGTGCCAAGCAATTGGTGTTGCGAGGTAAAGCTTTCCCGGTGGCTGATGTGTGCTTACACACACGTGGTTTGTTCTGTGTGGTCATGTGCACATGGTTGGGGACATGGTCACGGCTCCTTGCCTCAGGCAATGTGACAGACATTCCAGTACCCTCAACCTGATTCAGGGCCTGAGATCATCATATACATGAATATTTACATTTTTGTTGGTTTTATAGGTGTGTGTGTGTGTGTTTCCCATTGAGTTCATTCAGTGAAGATCACACTAACTCATAATTTTTCAAGAAGTAATGAGTCATAATAAATCAAGAAGTGTATTGACTTTCAGGTACTTAACATGCTTATTTAGCCCTTAATATGCATCAGGTATTGTAGTGACGAAGAGAAGGCAGTTTCTGTTCTCAACTTATATATATGTATAAATGCATACAATCATATATGTATACATATTTTCACTTTCATTACAAAATTGGGACGTGCTACCAAGGAGAAAACATCATCTATGTTAGGAGTGAACCATTATAAAATGTTAAAGACTTTTCTGGACCAAGCACTCATGGTTTGTCAAATAGTACCCCATGTAGATTTGCAGGGCAGTGTCAAGGGCTTACCAGCTTTGGAGACCCAAGGACGTAAGCACTTGTGTGTAGATTCTTATAGGTGAACACACTTCTCTTTCCTTGTAATAAATATCTGGGTGGGGGGTGAGAAGATGGGATAGAAAGCAGATTTATGAGAACTGACACCCTGTTTCTCGAAGTGACTGGATCATTTTGTATTTCCACCAGCAATGTGTGAAAACTTCAGTTGCTTGCTATCCTTGCCAAATTGATAAAGTAAGATATTAGCAAAAAAGTTGAGCTCTCTAGTAAGTAACAGTGTCTCATTGTGGTTTTAGTCTGAATTTCTTTAAGGGTGCTGTGAATGTCATATATTTATTTGACAGATGAATATCCTTTTAGGGAAATATCTGTTTAATTGTTTTGTTCCCTTTCAAATGCTGCTTGGTTATTCTGTATACAGTCTTTTACCACATCAGCAGTTTGCACAATAGTATCATGTGTTTTCTTTTCCTTTCCCTGCTCTCTCTCTCCCTCCCTCCTCTCCCTTTTTCCCTTATTTCATTCCCTCCTCTTCCCCTTCCTTCCTTCTTTGCTCCCTCCATCCCCCTCTCTCTCTTTTTCATGACAAGGGCTCACGAACTATCTAACTAACTAATGAAGTCCTGTCACTTAAGAGTTCTAGCACTTGGTAGACTGACACAGGAGAATGACAGGTTTCAAGCCAGCTTCCAGCTATGAAATCAATGAGAAATTCTCTGAAAAATAAGAGAAGCAATAACATAAATAAGGAAGAATGAATCTAGACAGAGTCGTGATATATGCTAGCATTTAAATAGCCAGCGCCTAAGGAGGAGCCAGTGAGGGACAGAAGAATGGACTGACAGGGTAGTTGGAGACCTGAGCCTGCTTCCGGTAAAAGACTAAGAAAGAGGTGAGTTTGAGAAGCAGGGACTAGCCACAAGGAAAGCTGTCAAGATTAAATGAGATATTCCTTAAATCAGGCGACAGGTTAACATTGATAAAACAAAACAACAAAACCAAAACAAAACAAGAACTAGTGTAATGGGATTAAATAGGTGTTTGGAAGTGATTATACTGGTAACTGTTCAAAAAGGTTTGCCTGGAGCATCAAGGATAGTGTGATTGTGGTGGCAGGGCAGGGGGAGGCCACAGGAGATTGGGGATGAAGGGGACTGCAGGGATGCCAAGAGGGAATTGCTCAGGATGGGTACTTCGGGCCTTCTTCAGTAACCTTTCAATGATCCAGTTTTCCAAAGCTGAGATGGGTGAGATCTGGAGATGACAGGACACATCTCCATGTTTAACAGGTTCATATAAAAGATGCTTTCCAACTCCAGGGCAGGTTTGGTGATGGTGAGATCCCCCTCAACAATGATGGGCAAAGTCATCAGCAAAGATGAGGAGAGAAGGAAGGGGAGACATCTACTCAAGAGATGTAGTCCCACTACTGAAATCCTAGAAGATGCTTCTAAAACTGCGGGAATGAAGGCCAGGGGGTATCAACCTCACTGCTGATTCCTGAGGAGGGAGAGGAGAGGGAGGAGGAGAAGGAGGAAGAGAAAGAATGGGGGGGGGGGACAAGGGTTAGACAGAGAGAGACAGAGAGACCGAGTGACAGAAAAAGGAAATGCGAGAGAGACAGAGAGCACAAGACAGAGACAGAGTGAAAGGGAAAGTGTGTGTGTGCGAGAGAGACAGAGAGACAGAGAGCACAAGACAGACACAGAGTGAGAGGGAATGTGTGTGTGTGTCTGTGTGTGAGTGTGTGTGTGTCTGTGTGTGTGTGAGTGTGTGTCTGTGTGTGTGTGAGTGTGTGTCTGTGAGTGTGTGTCTGTGTGTGTGAGTGTGTGTGTGAGTGTGTCTGTGTGTGAGTGTGTGTGTGTCTGTGTGTCTCTGTGTGTGTGTGTGTGTGAGTGTGTGTCTGTGTGTGTGTGAGTGTGTGTGTGAGTGTGTCTGTGTGTGAGTGTGTGTGTCTGTGTGTCTCTGTGTGTGTGTGAGTGTGTGTGTGTCTCTGTGTGTGTGAGTGTGTGTGAGTCTGTGTGTGTGTCTGTGTGTGTGAGTGTGTGTGTCTGTCTGTGTGTGTGTGAGTGTGTGTGTCTGTGTGTCTCTCTCTGTGTGTGAGAGAGTGTGTGTGTGTGTCTCTGTGTGTGAGTGTGTGTGTGTGTGTGTGTGTCTGTGTGTGTCTGTGTGTGTGAGGGGGGAAGGGGGAAGGATGGGTCAGCTTACCAGCTCACTCAGTTTCTATGCTCTGGTACCCTCCACATTTTATCATTCCTTCCTCACTCATGTTAGATTGAGTTTTAAAATTTTATCATATTTTAATTAGTTTACACTTTAGATTTCGTGTCATTAGAAATTATAGACCTGTTATTCGGCTAGCGAGGGCAGGAGAAACGCACAAGCAGTGCTCTGCCTGCTCTCAAACCCTTGTTTCCTATTTTTAGACGTTTAGAATTTCATATAAGTATAGAATGAAATATGATGATGGCCACTATCTATTTTCCTGTTCTAAATTCCCCCAATTATCCCTAATATATTCCCCTTCCAACTTCGTCTCCTTTTGTTTCCCTTCTTTTTAAAATAATCCACTGAGCCTAATTAGTGCTTTCATTTAAGCGTGGTTGTGGCGCCATCTACTGGAGCCTGTGCTGCCTAGCAGAGGCTTAATCGCCAAGGTTCTCTGCAGCTGTCAACTGCAGAGAGCTCCATCACCAGGAGTGAGGCTCATCTCATACACTCAGAGGAATCTTGACAACACACACCAGCTTTAAGTCGGGAGCCCTACTTCTGGGGTTAGAGATTCATTTAGGACAGGCAGGCTTTTGATTCAGGGCTCCTATTTTTTTCCAGCTTCAAATTCAAGCTTTAGCTGTTCCATCCAAACAAGGCTATTCAGAGTCAGAGAGAACAGAAAAGACAAGCTGAACACATTTAGGACTGGGATTGGTCACATCCTGCAGATCTTCAAAGCAGTGTAGCTGTCACACATCCAGTTAATATGTTTGTGGTAGGAGTTTTGATTGAGTAAGGAAGCCATTTAAGACATACACTATTTGCAGGCTGTATACTGGAACTTCCAAGCTTTACACACATATATTCATGTATGTATGTATGTACACACACATATATCTTTACAAATATATATGTAAAATCTTAAGACATCTGATCTACTTTCACCACCATAGACTCATGTATATTACTAAAAATTTAGTAGAAAAATAGAAAATTTTGTTATGCTGTCTGCATCCCATGTACACATTAAACTATGGATGTATAAGAGTGTTTATTTATACGGACATGTTTTAGCTATTTGTTTAGAGTCTCACACTGTAGCTCTGGCTGTCCTGGCACTCAGTCTAATGTAGCCTTCATTCTGCAGGAACCCTCTTTTCTCAGCCTTTTGAGTGCTGGGACTACAGGCATAAGTCACTGGATTTAGCTAATGTTTAAAGAGTTTTAAATAGCCTTTTGTAGGAGAGTATGAACTGTATAGATATATTTTTCTAAAAGTTACATGTGACTACGTGTATCAGGAAATAATATCTAAGTTATTCACCGAACATTATCAAAGCTAATATTTAATAGTATCTATTTTTTTGCAGTCTTTGTTTACTCTGTGTGAGCATGCATCCACACGCACGTACACACACACACACACAAACACACTTCATATGGTTATTGGGCAGAGGTCAGAGAGAGACTTTTGGAGTCAGTTGTCTCCTTCCACCAGGCAGGTTCATCATGTACCCACTGAATCATCACTCTGGCCCCTAAGTAATTTTTAAAGGCATGTCTATAAGTGAAGACCCTTGGTTTCAAGACTTTTTTTTTTTTTTTTTTTTTTTTTTTTTAAGATAGGGACTCAGGTAGCCCAGACTTCCCTCTGACTTGGTATGGAACTCAGGATGACCTCAAACTTCCTTTTTCCCTGCCTTTACCACTCAAGGTCTGAGATTACAGGTGTGTGGGTTTATATAGTACTGGGCCCTCATGCAACACCGAAGCTTAGCTCTTAGCTCTCTCTGCCTATTTTGAAGGGTGATACCTGGCAATTAGGAACCAACAGAAAAACAAAGTTGCCAGTGAAATAATGGGGGTGGTTTTGTTTTCCATTTCTTTGGATGAAGGAAAAGCAGATAAATGCTGGCGGGCCAGTCCTCTAGTCTGGAGATTCTGGAAGACTGAGGAACCTGCCCGCCTTCCTGGGCACCTTTATGTCCTCAGCCCAGGGAGGAGCACTTGCCAAACAGTTCCAGGAGCCCAGAGCTCATGGCTGCACTTCTACCAGAGAATTAGTGCCAGCTGTCATGCTCACAGGTAATGAAAGGAGGCCTCTGCTCACTTTCACATCCCTGGTCTCCAGGGGATTCAGGTGAGGGCTGAACTCCGTCTTCCTGAGGTTATGTTGTAGGCATTTTGGGGAAGAAGTCACATACATCTC